GAACATGGTGGCTGCTTCACTTAATTTCACGTAAGTAAGAGAGAGAGAGAATTTGTCTTGCTCTTAATTTTTTTAGACTTAATTTTTGTCGTCTACCTTCGAGACATATATATACAACAACTCTACCGTAACATCATTCATTACTAAGTAAGATGTAACGTATTATAAATAAATATTAAAACAGTAGTAGGAAGAGTTAAGGTACAGTCACCGAAAAAAGTAATGTCGGGAACCATGAACCCCGAGATTCAGACTTTTGAATCTGAAGCATTTATGGACAGAATAATGTATCCGTGTCTACTGCTTCGGGTTCACGAGTCTGAATGTCGGGGTTCGTGGTTCGCGACAGGACTTTTTTGGGCGACTGTACAACCGAACACTGAGTTATCTGGACCTGCACCGGTTACTTTATGAAACATTGGACCCAGACTGTGAGCCTCGAAGCCACAAGGTATTATTGCTCTCGGCAAAGGCCTTATTTTGGAAGATAGGAAGCGATAGAGAAATAATGTCTGCCAAAGTTCTCCAGATATTTCCTGCGTGATGTTTAGTGTTGGTTTATATTTCTGTTTTAATTTTCTTAAATACTTTTTAACGTTTGGTTCAGTATCATTCGATATTACTATTGCTATTACAACATTATTCTTGGTTTATCAAACATTTGTACTATGATGAATTTCATTTATATTATATACTGAGCGCTTGATTGTTAGTAAACAATGGAAAGACATCATGTAAATGTCCCGGTTTTGTGTCCTGTAAAGCTTCCAAAAATATTAGAAAGGTTTTTAGAAAAGTTTCTATATTTCTTGATGAACAAAATTTACTATGTGTACACTCGGGTTTTAACAGTGTACTGTATGTTCATTACACGTGTTGACAGTAACTGTCATTACATGTACTGACTGTAACTGTCTAGTATCACAGGTGTAGACAGTAACTGTCATTACAGGTGTTGACACTGTCATTACAGGTGTTGACAGTAACTCTAGTATCAAAGGTGTAGACAGTAACTGTCTATTAACACAGATGATGACAGTAATTGTCATTACAGGTGTTGACAGTAACTGTCATTACTTATACCGACAGTAACTGTCTAGTATTACAGGTGTTGACAGTAACTGTCTATTAACACAGGAGTAGAGAGTAACTGTCTATTAACACAGGTGTTGACAGTAACTGTCTATTAACACGGTGTTAACAGTAACTGTTTATTGATACCTGTTTTGAGGACAAATGATCTACTGCAGGTACAGTTTGGTAACACCCGAGGACCAAGCCTGGGGAAGAAAGCTACCTGATGGCAACTGGACAGGAATGGTGGGACAAGTGTTTAGACAGGTAAGTGACATTGTCTTCATCTTGTGTTATATTAGTCTGTTAAAGATATGTTTTATTACATGTTGTTAGTGAACATTTGTCCAGTAGTTTGAACAATTTGTTGTTTATTAGTTGTGTTACTATTAACTGCAACAAAGCTTTAAGAACAACACTGGATAAACGTGAAGGATATAGGTCAACATTACAGGTCACCCTGTCACAGGTAGTACCCACCAGTGTTGATTAGTTACAGGTCAACATTACAGGTCACCCTGTCACAGGTAGTACCCACCAGTGTTGATTAGTTACAGGTCAACATTACAGGTCACCCTGTCACAGGTAGTACCCACCAGTGTTAATTAGTTACAGGTCAACATTACAGGTCACCCTGTCACAGGTAGTACCCACCAGTGTTGATTAGTTACAGGTCAACATTACAGGTCACCCTGTCACAGGTAGTACCCACCAGTGTTAATTAGTTACAGGTCAACATTACAGGTCACCCCGTGACTGGTAGTATCCATCAGTATTAACTAGTTACAGGTCAACATTACAGGTCACCCCGCAGCAAGCAGCACTCGCCAGTATTAACTAGTTACAGGCCAATAGTTACAGGTCACCCTGCGGCAGGCAGCACCCACCACTTTTAAGTAGATGCTACAAAATTTTCACGGTTGAAACAGAAAATATTTATAAGCAGAATACGGCAATAGTTTTAACAAAAGTTCAAGATCTTTAAATAAATTATTACGAGAGCCGAGAATATTGTTATTTTGACGGAAGCAGCAGCGTGTGGGGAGGGGATGTGCAGGTTGCAGCGTTACCCACGTCACTAAACCCCACACTGACCCAATCAGAATCACTTCCAAAAATTAGCCTTATAGAAAGTGCACCTTAAGGCTCGGTTAACCACAACAACCCGAACATACTAACTGGTCACCCAATATATGAAGACCATTGTCGGTAATAGTATTATTATTGTAGTGATGCTTTCAGTTATCATGTTTCCGTGTTGTGCAGGAGGCGGACATCGCACTGGGACCATTCGCACAGTCGGAGGAGAGGAGGCAAGCTGTAGACTACACTCAGTCATTCTTTTTTGACGGACGAACTATCATCGCTGGGAAAGGTCGCCCAGAGATAGACCCCTGGAGCTTCATGTTACCCCTGCAGCCTCCGGTGTGGGTGGCACTGCTGGTCGGGCTGGTGGTGGCCTGGTTGTCTCTAGTGGTCATGGGCCACAACCCCAAGGACTCATCACAACTAACAAGTGCCTCACACTTCATGCGGACCTCACACCTACTCTTCCAACACCTGAGAATCATTCTGCGTCAAGGTAAGTTGAAAAACTTTATTCAGTTACGGAGTCTCATTAGGACCGACCCAGCATGTCTGTAGCTGGTTCAGATCAATGAACACCTTTAAGGTTGTGTTATTTTAGTGGAGAGGATGTAGTGTTGATGCTAGTGTAGCGGATGTAGTGTAGATGATAGTGCAGTGTAGTTCTCGTCAATTTGACTACAGTGTCTCTGATAAAAACAAGAATATCCATTATGGTGTTGTCCCTCAAAACTGCTGTAATCAACGTCAGGTTAGTGAGAGAAATGAGCGTTTTTATCCACATCCCCAAATACACATTACACCGTACTTTGTTTGCCAATACAGCATTTTGTTGCCTGTGATGTTAGTTAAAGAAATAAGAGGCTTTAGTTTATCGGCATTATCTTCGACTCACCTGACCTAAGTGCATGTTGACTTATTTTTAGTGTGTTGCGACGGAGTTGGTCAGTGTTACCTCCACTTTTAACAGATGTGAGTATGAACATGACACGTGGGCGGGAGATGGTGTTAATGGGTGGTGGTGTCGGTGGTGGTGACGTGTAGCTACAGTGGGACATTGGTGTCACTGCTGGCGGTGCGTCACGTGCCTCAGCCCCTGCAGACCATAAGGGACGTGTTGGACGCTACCCACATCACGGTGGTGCTAGAGGGCGCAAACACCATCGTGCCTGTCACCCTCGCTGTAAGTTTAACACACACATTTTAACTGTTATATTACTGCTGTGTCGTCATATAAAATAGTAAGTCACACACTTAAAGATGTATATACGAATGATACAAAACGTACTTTGTGATTTTTTTCTAGTATATCATTTTATTCTCAGGTCTTTGATTTTTTTAAGAGCTGAAAGCGCAAGTGAATTCTTCACAAGAATTGCCACTACTATAAGCCGAAATATCATCTTAAACGATCCTTCCTCAAGGTTTACGAAATATGTTCCTTTACCGTACTAACAAGTGTTTCTTACTACTGGCAGAAAATAAAGACTGGGGAGCTGAAGGAGCTGAACGACCTCAAGTATTTTGGTCGGATCAAGTACAAGACCCCTGCATTATTCAAGAAAGAGGTGGAGCCACTTGTGCGGCGAGGAGACCACGTCCAAATAGAGAACACCCTCACTATCAACAGCCACATCGACAGCGGTTTCGCTACAACCAGTAAGAGTTAAGCTTTTATTAAACATAATACATATATCAGATATGCGAACATACACACAAACACACACACACACACACACACACACACAAATGTAACCAACCATTAATCAGTTGGGTGTGTGTCCAGGGAGGTGTGACTTCTACAAGGGGCGACAAACCTTCTTCATAACCCAACACTGTCTCATTGGCCAGAAGGGTAACCCTATAGTGGCTGCTCTCAGTCGTCGGTAAGCTGGTGCTGCTACACTGTAAGTAGTGAACCACCTGTTGCTGCTACACTGTAAGTATTGAACCACCTGGTGCTGCTACACTGTAAGTAGTGAACCACATGTTGCTGCTACACTGTAAGTAGTGAACCACCTGTTACTGCTGCACTATAAATAGTGAACCACTTGTTACTGCTACACTGTAAGTAGTGAACCACCTGTTGTTGCTACACTGTAAGTAGTGAACCACCTGGTGCTGCTACACTGGAAGTAGTGAACCACCTGTTGCTGCTACACTGGAAGTAGTGAACCACCTGTTGCTGCTACACTGGAAGTAGTGAACCACCTGGTACACTGAACCTGTTGCTGCTACACTGGAAGTATTGAACCACCTGGTGCTGCTACACTGAACCACCTGTTGCTGCTACACTGAACCACCTGTTGCTAAGTAGTGAACCACACTGTAAGTAGTGAACCACTGTGTTGCTGCTACACTGTAAGTAGTGAACCACCTGTTGCTGCTACACTGTAAGTAGTGAACCACCTGTTGCTGCTACACTGTAAGTAGTGAACCAACTGCTACACTGTGACCACCTGTTGCTGCTACACTGTAAGTAGTGAACCACCTGTTGCTGCTACACTGTAAGTAGTGAACCACCTGTTGCTGCTACACTACACTGAAGTAGTGAACCACCTGTTGCTGCTACACTGTAAGTAGTGAACCACTTGTAGTGCTGCTACACTGTAAGTAGTGAACCACCTGTTGCTGCTACACTGCAAGTAGTGAACCACCTGTTGCTGCTACACTGTAAGTAGTGAACCACCTGTTGCTGCTACACTGAAGTAGTGAACCACCTGTTGCTGCTACACTGTAAGTAGTGAACCACCTGTTACAGTAGTGAACCAACTGCAACACTAAGTAGTGAACCACCTGTTACTACACTGTAAATAGTGAACCACCTGTTGCTGCTACACTGTAAGTAGTGAACCACCTGTTACTGTTACACTGTAAATAGTGAACCACCTGTTGCTGCTACACTGTAAGTAGTGTACCACTTGGGCTGAGCTAACTACAGTATATAAAACAACGGGGCGGACACAACAGATATGAGGTTAATGGGACTGTGATAACAGGACAACAGGAGAGAGATAACAGAGACACTGTTGCAGGATCAGAAGCGTGGTGGAGGCCGGGCTGTACCCTTACTGGCTGGACAAGAGTCTACCCGCCTACCATAACTGTCGTCACTCGCCTTCCAAAATTACCGTCCGGGAGCCTCTCGCCCTCGACAGCTTCTGGGTAACTACCCCGTTATTACTAACAATTTTCACCATGGTGACAACCTCATTAATTCTATCCCGATCTATCTGTCTACATTAACGCTAATTACCCAATGATATTAAACTACTTCACTGTGGCTAATGACCTCATTTATTTTATCTCGTTATACCTCACTATGTCTATCTATCCCGATATATATAACTGTGTGTGTGTGTGTGTGTGTGTGTGTATTAAGCATTTGTGTCACACAGGGGATGTTGGTGGTCCTGATAGCTGGACACTTGGTGGCGCTGTTGGTGTTTTGCTTGGAACTCAAAGCCGGCAGCAACTGATACATCTTCCTCCTCCACACCTGACACACGTGAGTTGTTAAACCATCCTACTCCACACCTGACACACGTGAGTTGTTAAACCTTCCTCCTCCACACCTGACACACGTGAGTTGTTAAACCTTCCTCCCCCACACCTGACACAGGTGAGTTGTTAAACCTTCCTACTCCTCACCTCACACTTGTGAGTTTGGTAAACCTGCCTCCTCCACACCTGACACACGTGAGTTGTTAAACCTTCCTCCTCTACACCTGACACACGTGAGTTTGGTAAACCTTCCTCCTCCACACCTGACACTCGTGAGTTTGGTAAACATCTATACTCAAAACTAGGCCAAAATCGTCTATTAAAGTTGACAGTAACAACGTCATTATGTTGTTGTGTTAACACGGTGAACGGATCACTTACTGAGGATAATATTCACTTTTATTTTTTATTCACGAGTTTTATGGATGTTGATCATTGATATTTATAATATAACAACAGCACGCTTTTGTCTTTATATATTTTACCTTTACAGCTATAGAGTATGTTTATAATTCAGACTATTGTCTCATAGTTATCCGTAATATACTGTATGTGAACTATATTAATACAATAATGTATAATAATATCACATTATGATTGTCTTTATAGTTATTTTTATTAATTTAATATTCAAATTCAATAACTTTCAGATTGTCATGATATAAATAAGTTGCTATACAAAACATAAACAAAAATATGGAATGTTCAACAGATCTCACGCAAGAAAGTTCTCAAGAGTCAACACGATGGTCGATGTCTTCAGCACAAGTTTTGTCTCGGGAAATGTGATCAACAGAGAGTCAACGTAGGGGAGGTGAAAGGTGTGCGGCTGATACCTGAAGTTGTTAATATGGTGAAGATAACAGAGTCGAGGACAAGGACAAAGATGTGTAAGAGTAAACCAACATTTACTGAGTACTTTCATGGAGTGTTAGAGATCTTAGGACGACAACACTGTATAATAATTCTCTCGTAAGATGAACAGCCATGTAGACAACAAAAGCTTTATTAAACACACGAAGAGAAAAATGTTTTATTAGTGGTATAATATTAGTGTAGGTACGTGTTCAGTCTGCTACCCTTCGTGCACACAAAATTGTTGTACATATTTCAGGTTTCTTGTTTTTTTCGTCAAATTTCTGTTACTATGATGTGATGCCATTAGACGTTTTACCGTTAATGATTTGGAGGAAGCTAAAGGCCATTTGAGATTATAAAATATTTTACAGACTTTAAATTATCTTGTGGTAACGTTCATGTTGCCAATGAGTAATTTTATCCAAACTTGTTTTAAAATATTTGGGAAATAACGATCAATGTTTTGATAAAATTATCAGGAATAAATGTGATGACTGGAGTCGTCTGACTGATCGTGTCATCTCCATATAATTAGTGATGAAAACCTGAAAGTAGTTTAGGATAGGAGAATACCATTATAAAGTATAGGTTTATTTACACCATCTATTCTTTGTAATTTTCTCTTTGGAATACAACAAAGACGAAAGGCTTCATAAAATAGATCGGAACTATTATAGATAATGTATCAGGTAGTTAAAACATGCGTTATATTTCTGGGTGTGAATAAAATGACAATGGAGACACGCTCAGTCTGTTGATAAACTCTCGTTCTTTTAATACATCGGATGTCAACACGTGTGCAGTACTACATTCTGTGTTTCCCAACATTGTTAAATATTTGTTCATATACTGAAACAAAGTTTTTATGAAAATTATATTGGGTCTCAAGATGTTTTACTATTGTAATATTATTGTATTTTAAATTTTATTATCTGACTTAAAAATAAACTGATATTAAACACGTTTGCTTTTTTAGAAAAATGGGGTGTATAAAATACTGCAAGCGATATGGGTCACCAGCTGTCGTATATCAAACACCTTCAGTAATCAAGGCTTTATTCATCTAATAAATCCATATACAACTGCACCAGTACAAAACAAAATCCAATTAGAACAAGAGAACATTTAGAGTAAAGGTAAACACAAACATAATTTATTCCATAATATGACATTCACCCTTGCCAACATAATCAATCAAACATCATAGCCGCATCGCTGGGGTTCTCTTTGCTGCCGAGTAGAACGACGAAGAGGTAACTCCTGCATGATACTAGGATTCAGCAATGTCGTCCCGGTATTTTCCTCTGCAGCAACTCCCTCACCATTATCCAATGTTTCTGGCTCCACTGAAGGTGAGGTTGATGCGGCAGAGATGTTTGAGGATGAAATTCCACCAGGGCATGGAGCATGATCACGGAGGGAAACTGAAGATTCACGTCCATCTGGATACTTGATGTGTGCATACGTTGGGTTAGCCTCGAGGAGCTTCGCCTCGTCAACGAGAGGGTCACCTTTGCTTGAGCGGACGAATCGGCGTAAGAAGACAGGACCTGGAGTCGTTAGCCATGTTGGCAGGGATGTACCCTGACAAGATCGTCCCGGAAAATTTAAAAACCTTTCATGTGGAGTGACGTTGATGGCTGTTGAGAGCAAATATCTAATGGAGTGAAGTGCTTCAGGTAGGAGAGCCTCCCATTCAGTATCCGGAACATCTCGAGATTTGGCAGCTAAACATATGGACTTCCAGATTATGTCATTGTTTCCTGTTGGGTGGTAAGATGTAGTTTTGCTGGACGCCACTCCACAACTAGCGAGATGAGTTTTCACTTCACGAGACATAAATGCACTTCGTCGATCAGAGTGGACAAAACTCTCCATACCTCAAAGCGAGAAGATGGTGTCCAGACATCTGATGACAGTCGAGGATGTCATGTCAGTACATGGAATAGCAAAGGTAAATCTGGAATATTCAGCCACAGCAGTGAAGAGATGTGAATTTCTCGTGCGTGATGGAAGAGGACCTTTAAAGTCAATGCTCAGTCTATCAATTGGTTGAGTAGCTTTGATAAAAGTATTTTCAGTAGGCCTGTGAAATGTTGGCTTGATTTCAGCACATACACGACAAGTTGAACATACCTTTTTCACATCCTCCATAGAAAATGGGAGGTTCTTTGTCCGGACAAAATGAAGCAATCTGACAACCCCGGGTGGCAGAGCCCTTCATGGATGACAACGAGGTTTGACGATGAGATGGCTCCCCAGAACGCTCGGGTGAAAGTGTCAGGAGCAACGTTGTCTCTACCTGGCCAATACCAAATGGAATAGCTAAGACAAGCGAGTTCGAGCCGCCACCCATGTATCTTGTCATTCTTCACTTTAGTCCTCCTACGACTGTCCAGCATAAACGCAACTGATCGTTGGTCAGTAACAATGGTGAAGTGCCGTCCCAACAACAGGTGAGACCACTTTCTCACCGCTTCAATTATTGCAGTCGCTTCCTTCATAACAGGAGGATAGCGAATCTCATTGCCAGATGTCATCCGACACATGAAGGCTACTGGCCGACCAGCTTGATTCAAAGTAGCAGAGACAGCCACATCCGACGCATCACACTCCACAACAATTGGGATGGCATGGTCAATGCTATGTAGGGCAGCTTCCCCAAGCAGTTTCTTCAAGTCATCAAAAGCTGTGAGCGCTTCACGGTCCAGAGGTAAAGATTTAGCCTTGTAGAGAGGCCGTCCCTTGTCTGAAAACTCCGGGATCCACTTAGCGTAATAAGCAAACATACCAAGTACGCGTTGAAGAGCCGATCGGCTTGTGGGTGGTGAACGTTCTTGCAGTGGTTTTAGCCTTTCAGGATCTGGTTTGGTTTGACCATTTCCAAGTTGATAACCCAGAAGATTGATCGATGTTGGTGATATTGTAGATTTGGATGAATTGAATGTCCGCTTCATTTCCTCAGCATCAGCAAGAAATTTCTCAAGATTTGCTTCATGTTCTTTCTGATTCCGACCACCTATGGTAATATTGTCAAGGTAGGGAAATGTGTCACATAGATTCTCCTCCTCCACGAACTTGTCTATGGCTCTTTGAAAAACGGCAACACCATTAGTGACACCAAATGGTACACGTGTGAATTGATACAGTCTGCCATTTGCTTCAAATGCTGTAAAGAGTTTATCAGACTCGCGTATGCTTAGTTGATGGTATGCGCTCTTTAGATCAAATGTTGAGAACACGTGGTACTTAGCAAGAGTATTGACCATGGTTTCAATGTTTGGCAATGGATATGCGTCGAGATTGGTGTAAATGTTCACTGTAGAAGAGTAGTCGATGCACATTCGTTTTCTGTGACAGCCTGAATCATCTCTTGGAATCACCACCTCTGCACGCCAAGGTGATGTACTTGATTCTATGATGCCTTCGGACAGTAAGCGTTGTATTTCTTTGGTAATAAACTTTTGGTCATCAGGGCTAATCTTCCTAGATTTTGTGCCTATCGGCTTTGCATCTCCTTGCATGTTTGCAAATAACAGTGGTTCTGACATACCTGCTGATGCCAGGCTACATACAGGCTTTTTACCAATGTTGGAAATCTTGAGCTCACGTCTGGGTCCTCCATACTCTATGGTAACTGAGGAGTGTTGTTTTTGGAAATCTATGCCGAGAATAACATCACCACAAAGATTCTCAATGACGCCCAGACGTGTGTTTGGATAATGACTGTCATTCATATAGAGATTCACCGTACATTCACATATCACAGAAGCCGTTCAAGAAAACATTGCCAGGGTTATACTTTGGGAAGCGGGTTTGATGTGAAGCTTAAGCCGATGGGCCACGCTCTTGTAAAAGAAACTCTCAGAACTTGCCGAATCAATAAGGTCGGAGATTCGTCTTCCATTTACCTTTAAGTTTGTAGCAGAACAATTTAGGCAATGAGGAACAGCAGCTGAGATGGCACAAAGAGTGGGAGATGAAATTGACGCCGTGACCTGTTTCTTACCCTTAGGCTGACAGACTTTTGCCCAGTGCCCTCTTTTTCCACATGAAGATTAATCACTATCTTTAGCTGGACATCTCGTCCGTAAATGAAGACTGCCACCACAAAACCAACGTCGTTTCTTAGTGGTCGTACTAGCATGTATTGAGTCCTCAACTGGACGTATATCTTGTTCATTAGTGTATGGTGACTTAACAGTTTCCTCCACACATCCTGAAGCTTCTCCAATGACAGGACCTAGTGGCTGGAAGGCTTCCGAAGTACGCTGTGGAAGATCCAAGAATGATGTGTGCGGGGGAAAATCCCGGTACAATTTATCTGTTTATGGCAAAGATTGGCAGGTCCCTAATAATGTCAAGTACCAAGCCATAGCCATAGGCATTGACAATATTGAGGGACATACCTTTTAGTGTGATTGTGATGGTGTGTTCGTCGGTAGTGTCGGCTTCAAGGGGGGCGTCCTTCTTGGCGTAAATACGTAGTCCACTAGCATGTCCGCATGGTGGTCAATTGATGTGGGGAACTGGAGTGGATGGGCCCCAGGTGCCGGCATGCCGGTGGGGGACGGAGCGCCGGGGTTGGTGTCCTCGGGTCCATGTGCGCGCGGTGGGTCATATTTTGTCAGGTTACCGTTGCCAGGTCACCAGGTATAGTGATTGATTTTGCCGCTTACAGCGGCTACTTTACTGTTCACCTACACCCAACCTGTGAGTGGTAGCGCAAAAGGATTACAGAGTAGAGTTTACAACGGGTCATAATAATTAACCCCCGTTGTCAGGATATTATGGCACTGAATTTACACAGTATTTTAATTACATTATTTGTTTAGTTCTATACATAAAGGGTAACTTATTCACAAATGCGTGAATACAGGCGTGTGAGGCAGTATGTCTGGCCGCACACTTTGTTATTCATATTTATGTGAGAAGTATTCAAGCACATTGTGTATTTGGTTCTATACATGAGAACTGATATAGTTACTAAGTGCAAAAAAGTGGATACGATCGTAATATGTCGGCTATCTGGCCATTAGAGACAAGTGTTCTGCCATTTCCCACACAGTGTGCACCGTTGAATACAATTTGGGTCTGTCAAAAAGAACCCATAAACTGTCATTAGGAAAGAACCTATTTCTGAATTTGACGCAAGTAGACAAGTGCAAACAAATATAGCGAGGTCACCCTCTGTGGGTACATTGTGTGAGGTCACCTGAAACGTAATACTCCTTCTCTCAGTTGCCCTTTTCAACCTTCAGTTTGCCCTTCTGAAATCTTAGAGTTTAATGGAATTCTTTAATATCTATAATATGATGTTCCCCTGAAGGATAAAGTAGACACCTATAGGACTCCGACTAGGCACAGGAAGACAGTATGAGTTGTATCTTCAATAACATGCAGTAATCATGGAGAAAGATGAACAACCACTGTATCAAGACTTTCTGAAGAACTCTTGGTAACCCTGTAAAGAAGCCACTGATTCGTGTCCTTATGAATCTTCAACCACCAGGAATAAAAAAAATTTCTTCCGGAGGAAAAACGACCGAAGACCGAATTTCCTCTAACCAATTTGTTACATTACTGTGTTGTCAATGTGTACAAGTCATGCGACTTTTTCCTGTGACTTTATTTCCGTTCACCGCTGAAACAAGGAGACTCTTATTCTGGAACTAGAATTACCACGTGATGTTCCCATTAAACCAAACTCCATCGCCGAAGGAGTAATATCGGTAACAGCGCCAGTTAACATGAGACTGTCA